GGCTTCACTGAGTTACGCAAGCCCCTTCGCCACGACAAGGCAGTGATCCATGAAGGAGACATACATACATACATACATACATACATACGTACCCGAATGGCAGGGAATGCTTTAGTTCCCCTCAGTGTTTGTGTTGGGCCCCCTCAGCTGATGTCGCCCAGGCACGAGCGGCCCGCTGAAGAAACCAGGAAGCCTCCCCAGTAAGGGTGTCCTAGCAAGCAAGGCGTTGCTGTCAGCGCCCCGGACTGCTTCCCCCGTGAATCCGCTGCGCTCCAGCCTGCCCCGGTCCTTCCTTGGCATCGAGGGGAATTTCCTGACGCCCCTCTCTCTCTGCGTGTGCGTGCCTGTGTGTGCAAGGGAGGTGGGGTGTGTGGCGCCTCCCCAAAGTGAGTGCCAGGAGTCATTAGCAAAAGAGTTGCAGCCTGAGGCCGAAAGCCCATTTGCTTGCTGTGCAGGAACAAAGCCAGGAGTCTGGCTAATTAGAGGCCACGGACACGGAAGGAGAAGCAGATCCCTGCCGAAGGAGAATCTCGCCAACACAGACAGGATGAAGGAGAATCTCGCCAACACAGACAGGACGGAGTGCCAAGGCAGGTCCAGAGGGAAGCCCTAAACCTAGAAAGGCCTCCAAAAGACTACTTCAGGAGCCGAAGCAGAAAGACCACGCTACATCACCCAAAGCAAGGTCCTGGGCTTAATTTATGATAGAAGCCTATTAGGGCAGGCTAATAGGCCTTAATTATGCATTTATGGGACGCCTGTGATACCAACCCTGCTGCTTTGCAGGGAGGGCTGGCACTGGCACTTATTTTACTGCCACTCAAGCACTTCTTTAATTACTGCCCTCCGTACGATTGGCTTTTCAGTTGCCTCTAACCTCAATTTCTTCCTCTGGTTCCGTGGGCTTGATCTGCGGGCAGCTCTGGCTTCTCCCCGGGGGAACCCATGACTACGTCCTCCCCCCCCGGCCTCGTCTTGCTCCGTCCCCTGGTGTCCTCACACCATTCTGAGCCGACGAACCAACCGCTCAGCTCCACCAGGAGCTCCGGCCTCGTCCCCCTTCCTGCTCTCGTTCCCGCCTCTGCTCTCCCACCATCAGGCCAGCTCCTCTTCAGAGCCTGGACGCGGAGGCGGGTCATGCAGGCGGACGACGCCAGCCGCCTTCCTGGTTCTTCCAGGTACATGGGAAATGGGGATGCCGTCCTTGGCTGGGCTACAGTACTCAACCGCCTGAGGTCTGAGAAGAGCTCCGCTGGATCTGCCTCATGCGCTGCTCAGCCTGACTCTCCTGCGGTGCCCCTTCCATTGGGTGAGGCCCACACCCAGCCAGAACCTGCTGGAACTTCCGCCTCCTCCTCCTCTTCACAGCCACGCTCCAGAGGAAGTAGGCGGATCCTGATTCTGTGGCAGTTCCACATCACTGCAGAATAAAATTGCCCTCAGAAATATGGTTGCCCGGACCATCGTCTCCCGCCTGGCTCTGCAACTTCTGCAGCATCTGGGTGCCAAACTGGGCAATGCACCCCCACTCGCTGCCCTTGCCTCCTCCCCTCCTGCGCTGCAGTCACCCTTGCCTCTGTCAGCTCCCCGCTACTGGAAGCGCAAACCCAGAGCTGTGAGAGGGACAGCGGCGCTGCTGTTTCTTACCCGACGTTGTTTTTGATGGGTGCCTTTTCACTTTGCGCAACCATGCCCACTGTGCAACTCTGCAGCCACGGTGCAGCGCTGACCAACTGGGCTCCGCTTCCCTTCTCCAAGAAGAGAGACGCAAAAGGGCAGCTAAAATGTCCTGGCTTTGCACCATCACCCATTACCGCTGCACCACTTTCTCCCTGCAAACAGGCTCACAGTCTCTTTGGTTTCCTTTTTATTTTTGGAATCGCGGCCCGAGGTTTAGGTTTTCTGGCGAAAGCACTAGAATCTCTGGAGACTGCTTTGCATTCTTCTCGCGTGATGCTCCCTTCCTTCCATTTCCTAAATGTGTCCTTTTTCCTTTTTGGGGTCTCAGAGAGCTCTGGGTCAAGATCACGGGAGGCAGCCGCTCTCTGCTCGCCGGCCAGGCCGCCCCTGCAGTACCGCGTCTGCTCTTGGTCACCACAGCACAGGACAGGCGCCCAGGACCTGGAGGCAGTGCACAGAGGGGGAGGGGAGTAGCTAAAAGAATTTGGTGCCTGTAGGTGAAAGACTAAGTTAAGGGGAGTCAGGGTAGCACAGTTCCACTGCTTGAAGGACTGCCCCAGGGAAGAGGGTGTGGAGTGATCCTCTGTGGTGCCCAAGGGCAGGACCAGGACCAGGACCAGGACCAGGACCAGGACCAGGACCAGGACCAGGGGGAGCCTACGGAGCGAGGCCCAACCTCAGACTAAGGAGAAACAAATGGCCTGCCCACGAGAGCCGTGAAGAGACACACCATGCCTGCCTCCTGGAGGAGCCCTGGGGGCTCCATCGCCAGAGGGTCTCAGACCAAGGCTGGACAGCCATCGGTCTGGGGTGGACTGAGGACTCCTGCCTCGGCAGGGGGTCAGGCCAGGAGACGGTCAAGGTCCCTCGCGCCCCTAGATTCTAGGTATTCCCTCTGGCCTCCTCGTTCCACAATCCTTTCTCCACACAACCCTGAAAAACAGGATGGTGGAGTCTGCGATGCTGCTTTGGAGAAGCAGGAAGGCACAGCAGCGCCCTCCAGCCCCACTCCTCCCGCATCCTGGGCTGCAGCCGCTGCCCTGGCCCTCCCCGCTCCTCCTTGCCAGCCACCGGGCACAACCTGGCCAAGAGGGTCTCGCGGCTTCCCCTGCGCCCAGCCCGCAGCGACGGCAAGGGGCGGTCGAGCACCACCGTGCGGAGCCGCCGCGGGGCGGGAGCCGTTCCACCAGGCCCGGGACAGAACCGGGCCCCTTCCTCAGCTAGGCTCCGGCCCCCTTTCCATCCCGGCCGCCCTCTCGGTGAGTGTGTGCTTGTGAGAAGCGCCCGGGAGGCTCCTCCAGCCCCCACCCCCACCGTGCTGAAGAGGAGAAGCTTCAGTTTGTTACCGATTAGCCATCAGGCCGCATCAGGATATGGAACGTAAAACTTGTAAAACGTAAGACGGAGGCGAGGCCAGCCGGAGGGCCCGAGCAGAGGGTGACTCACCGCCCGGCCAGTCAGTTGAGTTGCCACCGCTGCCGCTGCCGCCGCCACCGCTGCCACCCTGTTGCGGCGGGAGAAGAGAAGGCAGGAGATGAGCGAGAGGGAGGTACTGGGCGACCTGCCTGCGGGAGTCCCAGGGGATGGCCAGCAGCCCCTGGGGTTGGCGCTCCCTGCCTGCCCTCCCTCCACCTGCTCTGTGCTGGCCGGCGAGCAGCTGGTGCCTCAGCTGCGGGGGGCACTCAGGACTGCACCGGCAGCGCACAGCCCTAGGCCATGCCCAGGAAGCAAAGGACGTGCCCAGCCCCTTCCCAGGCCGCCTTGTTCAGCCAAGAAAGAGCCTGGCAACCCAGGCCTTGTCCTCACCTGCAACCAGGGCTGGTCCTAGTCAGCCCTGGCAGTGCCAGCGGTCCCCTGGTCACACGGCAGCAGCCTGACCTTGCCCCCAGGCCCTTCTCAGGGTTTCCTGCACAATTCCCCACCAAGCCAAAGTGCACCCATTCTGCCCCACTACCTCCCCTTTTGGGGACATGGGTGCATGGGACCGGCCCGCACCTGATCAGTTACCGGGAGGCAAGATCCCGGAATGGGAGGAGATGCCGGAATCTGCCGGGGAGATTTGCCCACCTCCTGCGGGCCAGCCTAGACATGATTCCCTAGGGAGGCTTCTCTACCCGCAGAACAAGTGCCCCTGCCCCACCTCCACCTCCTTCGGCACCAGCCCCTGGAGGAGCGGAGGGCCTCGCTGCAGCCCCAGAGCGGGTCTCCCACTGGCACACAACCCAGCCGGCTCGGAGGGCCCGTGATGAACCTCCCCGGTGGACGGAAAAGACCCCTCACTGCCTCCCCAGTGGGAGGCAGGCAAAGGGGACAGCCGTGCACGCAACGAGCTTCAGCCCCCGAGTCGCCCAGCAGATTGCGGATCTCGGCGCAGGGGTGGAAGGGGACAGCAGGGTAGTGCCCACTGGGGGGCGGGCAG